CGATTTTTATTCGTATTATTATTATTATTATTATTATTATTATTATTATTATTATTATTTACATTTATATTACTTTCTCTTGGAGGTGAGTTGGTATTAATACTTGAAATATTACTTGGAGGAGATGGATTTTTAAGAATTGGTTTTGGCTGTTTTTGGTTTGTAGCTTGAGATAGGTTAAATTGGAAATCTTTAAATTCTAAAGTTGATTCAATTATATTATGTCTGTTTTTTGATGACGATGTATTGTTGCTGTTTTTGATATTACCTTTTGGAACACTACCAACACCGTTTGAGGATGATAGTTTTGGTGAGGATGAAAAGCTACCACTGTTATTTAAACCACTACTACTATTTAAACTTGGGTTTATCGATAATGGGATACCAGCGGTACTTATCTTGCCACTACTACCACCTAAATTTAAAACTAAACTCTTTCTGTTATTGCTATTTAAAAAGTTTTGATATTTATCGTTTCTATATTTATATCTCTGTACGAAAAGAATAATAATTGAAATGAAACTAATTGCAGCTAAACCCAAGAAAATACAAGCCCATAATAAACCTATATTTGAAATTTCTGGTGGAAATGGTAAAACTTGGTATGGATTCAATGGTTTGTAATAGCATTTAAAAGATTCTTTATTTTCAAAGTTTACCATATAACCTTGTATCCATGTATAGTTTGATGAATATAAACCTGTAATATTTGACTTTTGTAATAATATTTTGCCATCTGTTGGACTGCTATAATTAAAATGTACCATTGTTACACCATGATAACAATTTGAAAATTCATTTGGATTATTTTCATCAGTTCCTGGATCTTTATTTTCTGTGGGTGTTTTTCCCTTTAATACAATTTTTTTAAAATAGTCATCTTTAAAATATCTATATTTTGATGTTGTAGTTAGTTTTAAACAATAACTCTTTTAGTTTTTTACCTATTAATATATTATACATACGTGTACCACCACAAATTGTTATTCTCTGTGTTGCATGGCCAAAAAGTAGTTTTATTAGTAATGATATTTCTATCAATAAAACACGAATTTTCTTTAAATTCATTAACAATTGTTCTCTATAGTAATTACATTAATATTAATACTTGTTATTCTTGTTGATTTAATACTATGAGTATAAATATACAAATACATACATCTAGATTCCATATTTTTTCGAAAAAAAATACACATAAAAGAACGGATAATACAAAAATAAATACATTAACCCAGAGGAAAGCTTCCTTTAATTTCATTTTGATTTTATACTAAATCATTAATGATTGTAATAGTACTAAAAGATAAAAAAATAAATAAAATAAAAAATAAAAAAAGAAAAGATTATATATCTGTGGTATGTGTGTTTGTTGGATGAACGCGAAATAAATGAAATGAATTAAAGTTTAATTTTTTTTTTTAATATTTTTTATTTTTTCTATTTTTTTTTAACAATTTTAATAATTTTTTTTTTTTTTAATTTTTTTTTAAATTTTTTTTGAATGGGTGACCCAGGTTTTGATTTTTAATTTTGATTTTATCATTACAATAATAATCTTTTTTATGCATATTTATAAATAAATTCATATGAAAAAAATAAAAGAAAATGATGTTGTTTTTATAATATTAAATATCTATTTATTTAGATATTTAAGAAATAAAAAGATTATATTATTTTTTATTATTTTTTTTTTTTCTATATTTTTTTTTTTTTTTTGTTTATGTTGTTGTTATTTATTTGTTTTTGTTATTTTACTATTATTAATAAATCATCCCAATTGAAGTTAAAATTCCAAAATAAAATGAAAATTGTGAAGTTTCTTCGTTTAATTCTTCCAAATTATCATTTTTTAAAGATGTTATTATTTTTTTAAGTTTTGGAAGTATTAAAATTGGTAAAGATATCATTAATCTTTTTTGTAGAATTGATATAAAAAATAATAAAAAATATGATCTAAATAATTTAATAAAGATTTGATTAAAGATTATTAAATATTGAAAGTAATATCGTAAAAAAAATAAAAAAAAAGATTAATTAATATTTATTTTTGGTGATGATGATATAATTATAATAAAAATAAAATAAAAAAATGATTGTTTTTATAATCAAATTTAAATAAACGAAAAAAATAAGTTAAAAAAAAAAAAAAAAAAAATAAACTTTACTATTTAAATAAAAAGTATAATTATTATAATTATTATATAGTTTAAAAATAATACTTACAATATATAATAGAATAAAAATAAAATTTCTGAATGTTTTCTATTCATAATTCCAGCTAATGATTTATATCTTTCCGTTAAATTGTATTTTATATTTTTCATATTGAAAGAGTGATGAGAGCCTTCAATAACTAGTGCAACCGGTAAAACATAAAGAAAAAATAAATCGTTATGTTCAAAGGTTTGCATTAGGTAGCTAAGTTTAACCAAAACAACAAAGAATATGGGTACTGCTAATTCAGTGGTTCCATAAATTCTTACTTCGATGGGATAGCCAATGATAAAAAGACAGAGCAGGAACGTTGTTATCATTAGGGGGCCCATTACCAAGAGTTTTTGAATTCCAACACGGATAACGATCGAATAGATACAAACCACCGAGAAAACTAAGTGACCATATAAAAAACATCGTACAATTCTCATCGTGAGATTTCTTGAGGTTAAAACTATTTGACCTCTACTCTTTATATCTCTATCTATGGCCAATAATGATTGAATACCTTGAACATTTATTGCAAATGATAATATTAAACAAAAGTTTAATAAATCTATCGAGTTGGTAACTCTATAGGCTAATGTGCAACCATAGAGTATTGATGCCATTGAAAGCGGAAATGCCCAAATATTGGCTGCAATTGCATAAGATCTAATTATACTTGATTTTTGTTGGTTTGGTTGTAGTTGGTTTTGTTGTTTCAAATATATGTTTCGATATTTAATTTGAAGTTCTTTTTGTTCCTGATCATCATTTTGATAGTAAATATAGTTGTTATTATTCTGATTATTATTATTATTACAACACCCATTATTATTTTTGTTATCGTTATTTTGATTGGCAATATTTGATAATAATTGGTTGTTATTGATAAAATGTTCATTATTACCATTGCAACCACCCAATGTAGTATTTGAAGACATAGTTATATCTTGATTATTGCTATTTACATCATTACAACTTGTTGTTGATTTAAAAGTGGTGGTTGCTGAGGATGGGGTTTGATTTTTTTTTAAAATATTATATGGTGAGTCGATTTGATTTTCACTGTTTATATTATTAAGTATATTATCATAGTGAATGTTGGCGGTACTATTGTTTGAATGATTGTTTAAATTTTCACATTGTTTTATATCGGATTTAAAAGTGTTAAAGTTATCATTTTTTTTATGTGTTCTATTTTTCCACCCAACACTACTAATACTTGAATTATTAATATTGTTTTCGTCATTATTAATATTATTGTTGCTATAGTTATTATTATTATTATTATTATTGTCGAAATAGTAATTTTTTTTTTTTTTTACTATAAAATTTTTATCATTTTCTGAATCTTTATTTACAATTTGATTACAATTATTGATATCATTTTCAATATTATTATTATTATTATTATTATTATTATTATTATTATTATTATTATTATTATTGGTGTTTTTATTACAAGAGTTATTGCTGCCACTTGGGTTGATTGTATCTATATTCCTATTGTTATAAATATAGTTGTTAAAAAATTTATTTGTTTCATTTTTAATATAGGGGATTATACTTTCAGATTTGATTGATGAAACCTTTTCTATAGAATAATCTAATGGCATTTTTCTCTCTTATTTTTTTAAAATAAAAATTCTGATATTAATATTAATTTATAAATTGATGGTTTTTTTTAAATAAAAAAAAAAAATTAAATATTTAAAAAAAATTATAGAAATTTGATTATTTTATAAGAGGGTGATAATTATAAAAATATAAAATTTTTTTAAAAAATTATATCAAAAGAAATAATTGATATAATTTTGTTTTAAGGGAAAAAAAAAATAAATATAAAATTAAAAATGTGGTTTTAAAAATTAAAACTTTTTTCTTTTTTCTTTTTCCTAAAAAAAAATAAATTAATTAGGGGGGTGATATAAAAAAAAATAACAGTCCAGATATAAAATAATTTATATAAATAAAGCTATATAATCATCCCTTGATGATAATACTTTATTCTAAATAGTATTAAAAACAAAAACAAGAAAAATAACAACAACAACAACTGAATGGCTAATGATGCAAATTATAGTTGTAGTTATTATTGTTACTTTTTTTTTTTAAATTTTTATTTTTTTTCTTTTTTTTTTTTTTATTTATTTATTTAATATGAATATTATTTTTTTATTATTTATTTATTTTTATTATTATTATTTTGTTTTTACAAAAAATAAACAAGTTCTAAAAATATACATATATAAAAAATACTCTTGTAATTAATGGGGGAGGAGTGGTATTTCATGTAAATTATTTTAATTTGTTTTATTTTTTTTATTAATTAAATAACAGTATCAATTATTTACAAATGATCACTTAAACTATTCTTTTATGGTTGATGGGTGGTATTACACTTGTGCGTGTATTTATTACTTTTATTTTTGTATTATTGAGAAAGTGAGTGAGTATGTGTGTGATGTGACGTGATGTGTGATGGATTTTGAAATGTGTAAAAATTTAAAAGTTATTTTGGTAAAAAAAAATGGTTAGGAATATGATATGGTGTTTAATGGTTATAGGTGATGATGAAATATTTAAAAATAAAATTTTTTTAAAATTTAAAATAAAAAATAAATAAATACAAGTTAGGTGGTTTATAGCCAGTTATTTTTTTATAAAATATTAAGATTTTAGAATTCTTTGTGTTTTTATTAATTATTATTATTTGTGATTATATTTAAGATATTATTACTAATAAAAAAAATTCGATTTTTTTTTTTTTTTTTTTTTTTTTTTTATACTTTAAATGATGAAAGTATAAAGCAAAAAAAAAAAAAAAAAATTTGATTTTTTAAAAAGTAACAATAATATTTAAATATATAAATGTACAATATTGATATGTCTTTAAAGAAATTAAATTAAAAAAAAATTTAAAAAAAATTAAAAACAATTTAATATTAAAAATAAAAATAGATACACACTCTTTTTTTTGTGATTGTATATATAAGAAAATTATTAATGAAATAAATTAATAAAAATTATAAATATACCCCCGCCATAATAAAAAAAAAAAAAAAAAAATATTGATTTTAAAAAGAGGTGCTTATTTTTTTGATTTAATAAAAAAAAAAAAATTTTTTTTAAAAAAATTTTGTTTTATAAAAAAAAAAAA